GAGAGAGGACAGAGGAGGACAGAGAACAGAGGACAGAGAAGAGAGGACAGAGGACAGAGGACAGAGGAGAGAGGACAGAGGACAGAGGAGAGAGGACAGAGAAGAGAGGACAGAGGACAGAGGAGAGAGGACAGAGGAGAGAGGAGAGAGGAGAGAGGACAGAGGAGAGAGGACAGAGGACAGAGGAGAAACATAAAGCCTTCGTCTGTTTGTAAACTAAAGTTGTGGATAAATTAAAAAGAACAAGGGAAACAAGCTAATGTTAGCAGCAGCTCAGCTTGCAGCCCCTTCACAACTTAAACAACAACCCTCAACAACGATGTTACACTTCTTAACTCTACTGTTTTGATTCTGTCATATTGTTTGGCTGACATATCATCATATGGTGCTGCCAAGCACAATATTGTAAGGGTGTTATGAAAGTCTTTTGCATAAGAACTGTAATGCTATAGTTTTAGTTGCCAAATTACAATTACATAAATTGGCTTAGCAAGAAATACAATTTCACAAAACATTTAATTAATCAATCCACCCCCCTGCCCCACAATAATATAAAAAAATATATAAATCTCCATTATTTCCCAATATTGTTGTCAATGATTAATGAACACAAAAAACAAAAACAAGGGTCTGGCTGTGGAAGCTCCCGTCTACATGTACAGTATAGTGGATGTGTGTGTATTTACACTGAGTGTGTAGATAACTCCAGATAACGTTAAAAGCTGTAATGTGACTTTAAATACAGTTAATTAAGGGTGCTCTGATCGCTGGGAGCAGTAGTGGCCGATACCAATCATTGATCCCCGGGTCTCTTTAAAACCTTATTTTTATTGTGTAGCCTTATTTATTTATCTAATTAGGGGTGAGAAAGTATCTTGAATGGGCTCTTCTGATTAAGATTTTTAGACACTGCTAATCAAACTAATTAGAGCTAATAATATCGGCTGACAATAATCAAGAGCACCCTTAATCATTCAACCATTTCCAGAATAGAATAATATATAATATCAAGGTTAACTATGGACACAGAAATTAACTGGCACATGATTAACAAAAGTTAGACAGATGTCAATTAATGCAAAAGTTACTTTTTTAAATTACAATGAAATTAGATTTCATGTTTCATTCCCTGATTATAAAATCATAACATTATATCAATTTCTCAGGTTCTTAATTCACAGGGTTAATGATTTGACCCCAAACTGCCATCAATTGCCGTAGGTGGAGTGTGTGTGTGTGAGTGAATAAGTTTGTATGCATCTCAGGTTAAAACATAATATTCAGTTAGTGCAGCACATTGACCATTTTGCCACAAAATCATATTTACTAAAGTACATCACATAACTTCGTTAAATCAGAGATAGATTCTCTGACTTTTCCCAGTTCCTTCCTAATCACAAAGTTAAATTTTTCTTCCTCACATTTTGTTTGCTGAATGTCTGAGCCCACTTTTTCAGCTCTGCCTTCAATGTACTTGCTTCAGGTCGGTCTTCTGGCTGCTCACACAGCAGTGAATTAATAATTTGCTTCTGCAACAAAAGAAGAAAAACAACTGCTACAAAGATGATGATTGTATTGTTTAAATATTTGCTTTGATTAAAAGAAATCTAGAACTAGTGTTAGGAAGTTAAACAGGTCATACTTTCCTCTCTCTTGTTATATTGCAATTAAAACAAACATGGTATGTGGGAAATACTGTTTAATATAGCAACGAAATATGTAAGAATAATAAGAACATGTCAATCTACCTCTTGGGGAAAATTCAGTGTGAAGTCTTTGGGGAACTTCTGACTTCTGGCATTATCCAAAACCTGGTATTCATGCAGTGATAAAAGGATAAATGAACATGTTAGTTGACTAATAATAATTCAAATTGTGCTCTGTTGAACATTGCTAAATAAATAAATGCAAAAAAAATCTGACAGATTGACAGATGAACAATAAAGTCCAATTTTATCTGCTACATAACGTACTGAAAATAAATCAACTACTTGGGCCAGATGCATAAACAATGTGTACACACAAAAAAACATGAATATACCTTGTGCAGGTGAGGCCATTTCCACAATGACTGAGATTTATAGAACAGAATCAACTTTACGTTTTGCTTTATAAATCTGACGAAAAGAATGCGTATGCATATTTATGTCACTGAGTTATATGAATCCGGCCCCTGGTGTATACTAAGCTGGTTGGTAAATAGGCTACATAATATGGTACCATTGCCATGGTAAGTTGTTTGTCAAAGTTTAATACTAATACACAATGTTACGTTGAGTTTATGGAAGACTCACATTTCCTCTTTCATGGCCACTAGAAACTTTCCAAAGGAGTTCCAAGTATATCAACCCCAGAGGAAATATGTCCACTTTACGGCCATAGTTATTCCCCTTCTGTGATAGAATAAAAACACATTATTGACAACCGGCACTTCAGCAGCCTTGTTACCCTCTCATTAATGATCATGATGGACTAACTAATGCTCATGTGGTAAATGAAGTTTCAGCTTTCAGCTCCATTTTTTAAACTAATTATTAAAAATGATTTACTACATTTTTAGTGAAGTTTAAAAAAAAAAAAGTTCTGTTGTTTAATGTATGTTTGATTTTAGAGCTCTCATGGCCAGAATATATTTAAAATACAAAAAAATATATAGCTGTAAGCAGCAATGATTGGCACATTGCAAGCAATTGGAAGCTTGAACTTCAGACCAATAATTATGAACCAGTAATGATGAAATCTCTAGAAAGAATTTTGCCCCAATATCAAGACAAACTCGATCCATACCAATTTGCATACAAGCAGGGCTGTGGTACAGAGGATAATGCTGGTTGGTTTAATTTCAACATTTAGACAAACCCAACACCTTGTTATTCAAAATGAAAACATGAATCAGGTATTTTTATACAAATCTTTGGGTGTAATGATAGACCAACTGTTATCCTGAAAAGAGCACACTAAATTTGTATTAAAAGACAAAGACAAAGAATGTATTCTCTCTGCCGCCTGAGGTCCTTTGAAGCCTGTAGATGGTTTTTTACGATCATGAGTGTTCTACAGTATAAATAAAATGTTATTAATTATGAATATTTGAAAAAAGAAACCCTATGAATCAGCCTACCATAATAACACATTAAGGCTGGCCAACAACATCTATGACCCCAACAATGTCCTAAACAGTGAACACAAAATCAAACTGGAGAAATGTGTTTCCATGATTTAACAAGGTTAGACTGAAGCACTCATTTGTAAATACGGAGCTTAATCCCAGATCAAATGTTTGAGGGCCTTGACTTTTGTCTTTTGTGTTTGTAATGTTGTTAAATGAGTGTATCTTGTATGTATGGTTGGTCTTTTCTGTGATGGTGCAAATGGAGCTACTGTAATGCAATAAAAATGTCCAACTTGATTTGACAATAGACTATCATTATCATCATCATCATCATCATAAAGCAATCTCACTTGTTCAGGAGCCATGTAAGTCGGGGTTCCTTTGTTCCTTGTTCTGTCCATCCAAGCATCATCTTTGGTGACCAAACCAAAGTCCCCGATCTTCACTTCTCCACCCATTCCAAACAAGATGTTGTCAGGCTTACCATTGAGAACAGAAATACAAACATAAAACCTTTAGCTCTTCATGTGATGGAAATTAACTTGTGAACTTGACAAACATTTAAAAAAGGCACATGTGGTTGAACCCAATGCAAAACTGTGGATGAGCATCAAACCGCTGCCCAGAGGTCAAACTCAATATGGCATCTGGAAGCTGCTTTCCACAGGCTAGTTGAAACCTTCTTGTCGTGCATGATTAAATATGTGTAAGTTATGAATGCTGATGATCCTAGGTTTTTCGTTAGCAAGCATTCATAACTTAAACATATTCATAAATCATGCGCTACAAGTTATCACTTACGTGTGTAGAGCAGCTACCAGACACAGTTTGTGTTGGTGGTTTGATTTATCCATCCTCGTTTTAATAATTACAGACTGCAGATCTAAGACTGTGATCACATTAAGTCAAAATTCCCTTCTGAAAACAAATGCATTTTAGAATCGAGCAGTAGCAGGGGAATCTCAAAACACACACACAAAAATGCAGGGAAGTTTACAAATAACTACCAGTTTATGAATGCAGGTCCAACCGTCTGTATATAAATGTAAGAGCCAAATATGATTTTGATGAAATTTTTTTCACATTAAATTTGGAACATATCATCTGGATTAATTAATATACATTGCTAAATATTTTTTGCGTGCATCTAAAAATATGTTTGTGGAGAACGTAATTTATATATAATCACAGAATACAGTTGTCAATCCTTCTGTGGCTGGATGCTGGCTTATTGGGATTTCTATCACATGCTTTGAGTGCAAGGATCTGTAAGGGTGCTGGCAGTGTATCGTCAGGATAAACCAGAGGAAATATTAAACGCTCCTAGAAGCAGATTCTATATCAGCTTTGCTACACACTGTAGTGTCTGGTCTCACCTTAAGGTCCCTGTGGATGTGCTTCTCGGAGTGAATATATTCAACTCCACTGACTATTTGTTGAGCAATGCTTAGACTTTCTTCTCTTCTCTTGGAGTCTTGCGGAGACTGAGTGTTCTTCTTATTAATCCATGCTTTAAGTGTTTTGCTGTCACATAACTCCAACTGAATATAGAGGTACTTTGACGGTGAATTATCTGTAGACCTAGAAAAGTAAGAAAAATAAAGACAAATTAAGAAATTATGTACTTCCAATTAATAAGGATGTTAGTAATATGATGGGACTTGCTGGGATGAGCTGGAACTGTCAGCTGAAATTTCCCCTTGGTATCCTGAATCTTCCATCCAAGATCTGTAGTATCTGACAATATTAGGGTGGAGGAGTTTTGATAATGTCCCCGGCTCTCGAAGAGATTTCCTGATCCAAAGGATAATGAAAAAAAAAAAACAGTAAACAAAGTACTTGCACAAATACAGCAGATGCTATTATGTACACTGCATACTTACTCTTCACAGCGGACAATCTTTACAGCACAATAAATGTCCAGCACTTTAGATCTTGCTTTGTAAACCCAACCATAGGCTCCACTGCCAACACAGTCAATGGAATCAAAGTCTGACGTAAACCTGTCAAAATAAACACTGTTGTTTAGGGCAAAAAGGTAATACACACAGACGTGTTTTCTTGACTGTATATCAGTTAGTGGGAGAGAGATTTAAGACCATATCAGTATAAAACACATACTACATTGCAAATGAATGTTTATTTTCCATACCTTGACTGGGCTGATGTCTCATTCCGACTATTCCCCATATTCATGTCTTTGACAGCATCCTTTTAAAAAGTAATAAAACAGATTTACAATTTTGAACCCTGCTCTGATTATTAAGTTGTATATACTTCAAGAACTAGGACATACACATGATCCACCACATCTTTTTTCCTTGACTAGACAAGACTTTCTTGTTCTTATATCACTACTACTATTCTCTCTACATACAGAGCAAGCAGAATATAAAAGGACAGACCTGATCCTTGGAAGAGTTTGATGAGTCAGTGAATTTTTCTGAGCCACTTGTACCAATTGACATGCTTTGTGACGATGTAAGAGACTCCCTAGGAGAACATACCAAGTGCCATGAGTTATGCGTTTTCACCATAAAGCTTTAATCCGTCTTAATATGAGTATCAATAACTTCCTCACAGTGAATCTGATGTGGACAACCGGGTTGGTGCATCATCTTGAGGTGCAATAGACCTGATGGACATCTACAATTCACAAAAAAGTGGATAATTGTTACTATGTAGCATGTTCCAAATAAAATTGTGTACTGGCCAACTTTGCAAAAGCCTGCTGAGGAGCTAGACTGAGTGCTTGTAAACAGTGTTTCTGGGGGCTGGGCCTCACTGATTACCTTACAAAAGCACAAAACCTTTCTAACTTTTAGGGCTGTATTTTGGCAAGAGTCTGACAATCAATATGTATCACGTTATAGAGCGTTACAATTGAATATATTGCGATATACTGCTTAAGCATATATTTATTTAAATCTAATTTTAGGAAACAAACAAGCTGGTGCCTTGAGCTCCGAGTCTGTTAGTAGTTAGCAGCAGCTTGTGGTTAGCTAATAGCAATGTAAAGTAGGTAAAGTAAAGCTAAAATGTTCATCAATAAACTCTGTAAAGTTGAGGAAGAGAAGGATATCCGAGGAAAAAACTGAAAATATGTTATTGTTCCTCATAACTGAAAATGCCTGTCACAGTCCGGACTCCTGAACAGAACAACTGAACAGACTGAGTGTGCCCCTTTACTTCGTGATCATGCTCAGCCGTGCTGTAACTAGTCAGCTAGTGACATAAAGTAGAAAAAGATGTTGGAAACAATACATTCAGAGCAGTCTGAATTCTGAGCTTTTTGCTCCCAGGATTACTTTTACATATGTTTACTTTCTTGCTCTTACAATGTTGTTATTAGTCTGCTGCAATCTTTACATATCATCAGTGTATATTTTTACTTTACCTACTCAAGCTTTTTTTAGGATTATGAGAGAACAGACCTGACCCTCGGATGGGTTTGATGTATCTGCGAATATTATTGAGCCACCTGTGCTGACTGAGGTGCTTTGTGATGATGATTCATGGGACTCCCTAGAGGGAATACAATGAGAGACATGAGTACAGCATTATAGCAGTATTGAACTTCATGGTTTGCTCTTCTACTAATGACAATAAGTGCCTTACAGTGTAGGCTGTGTTGACAAACTGGTTGGTGCATCATCTTCAGGCACAGCTGACCTGAAGGATATCTACAATATATAAAAAAAAGTAGTTAATTGTTACAATGTTCCAAACCAAAAACTAACCGATAAATCTAAAATAATGTCAAATAATATGAATTATTAATGTAATTTTTCATGCCGTTAAACCACAAATATGGACTTAAACTAAACTTTTTTGCTTCTAAAAGTCTGCTGCAAACTTAAAACATTTCAAATGTATATTTTCACTCTACCTACTCAAGATTTTTATGATTATGAGAGAACAGACCTGAGCATTGGAGGGGGTTGATGTATCTGTAAGTATCCCTGAGCTACTTATGCTCGTTGACGTGCTTTGTGATGGTGATTCATGGGACTCCCTAGATGTAATACAATGAGAGACATGAGTACAGCTTTCTCAGTATTTAACTCCACGGTTTGCTCTCCTACTAACGACAATAAGTGCCTCACTGTGTAGGTGATCGAACTGACAACATAGATGCACCATCTTCGGACACTGTTGATCTGATGGACACCTAAAATGCACAGAGAATGTGTTTGACATAATGTTAGACATAATTATTGAATGTAAAATTTCACTTTCATTTTCAGTTGAACCATTTCATTAGTAGCTGGGGTTGAGATCTGCTGCTACCTGTTAGTTTTACAGCCTGATGTAATCCTTTCTCAACATGGTGGGACAAAAACACCAAAAACAAAGTGCAAACAAACCCCCCAAAAAACCCTTGCTTGAATGATTTATGTAAAGGGCTGTCACTATAAAATAACGTAGGCTGTGGTGAAATCTAGCCCTGTGAGCAGTACATTAGAAGTGTACAATTAATGATATAAAGGTAGTAAAATCAAATACCTGGCTGTCATAGTCTGACTGCTCCAGCAGAGCAGACCAGGCCAACCGAGCTGCGTCTTGTTTGGCTTCTTTGGCAGTCTGACCCTCACCCACAGGGTAGTCCTTATTGTTTATCACTAATTTGTAGAAAAATCTGTGATGTGTTATGAAAAGGAGGAAATACTTCAGATCATTAGGTAAACGGTTTAATGTCGTGTATAAGTGAACATTAATCAAGAATTAGCACAGAGTGTAGTGTTTATTCAGGTCACAGAGGTTAAGGTTCATACTCACTGAGGCTTATGAGATGGACCGCATCTCCTCACTTCAATGAATGAAAGGCAGCGCCTTGTTTTCTGGCAGTAGTGGTTGACAATTCCTATGTAATTTGTCTCTCTTTGTCTCGGTTTGTATCTGTAAAGCTGTGAGTCCACACTGAGGCTTCTTGTCTTATTACTGTAAAAAAGAAGTGACAGTTTACACTGATGAAGACATGAAAATTAAACACTGCATTACTGTTGTGATTTACTCACCAGATATTAGAAACATTTTGATTTGATTCCTGCTTCTGTTGACTTAATGTACAGTTGTAATTCTCATCTGCAGTCTTGACCATGGACACAGGAAGAAGGGGAGCTGAGGGGGCTGCAGCAGCCCCTAAAATCTGGCATAATGAAAACCATCAGTTAATTAATCACATTTTATTTTGAGTGTAAATTTCTAATGACTTTCTCCTTGTTTACTGGGATTTACATGTGTAGTTCACCTGCATTTGTGGCAGAAAGAGTTTTTATCTTGTTTTTTATTAATTAATTATCGATATGTACAAGCTTCTCATACTACTGCAAGTCAGAGCTTTACTCTCACACGAACACATTGAGGTCAACGTAACCACAGACATCACTGTTCACACTGTCAAACAGAAACAGTGATTTCAATCCAGCAAGCTACAGCTACATAAGGTAACTGTAATTACTACCACTGCCATTTGTATAATAACATTTGTTTATAGTATTAAAAAATCAGGTAACTACAGGCTCTCTCCCTCTTCATCCTCTCATGCATTAGTTTTGTGTGCTTCCCTGTGCAGTTGCTGTATCTGCCTCGACATATAGTATGTTGGTGTTCAAGTTTGCTCTCCGTTGTAGTGTAAAACGTTCTAAAGTTAGTGGAAAATGTTATTAACAACAATTGAATGTAAATTATCCCAGCAATTCAAATGGTTGCAAAAAACATTAGTCTTGCACAACATTGTTATTATATAGACTCACTTTCTCTCAGTACCCCAACTGTGACTGATTTCCAACATCCCTGGTCTAAAGTATGATTTAGAGATGGTGGTTAAGTGGTCAAGGAGACATAGGCCACAAATCATTCTTTAATTTGAAAAACCTACAATCCAACAGTGAAGTGAAGAGGAACTATAATCTTACTGAGTCCACTGAGTCCCGATGTTGGTTCTCTGACAAGCATTTCAGGGCATTTTTAGCTGCACTGTGCTTGGCTTCCTTCTTGGTCTTCCCCAAACCGTCAGGATAGACTTTACCATTTAGGACTGCCCTCTGGGCAAATCTGTAGTGCAATGTCACATTTTTGTTATAGGGATAAGTTGATGTGAAATGATGTTTGTGTAGTTGGAGTACATTAAAGTACATATATCTGCAAAATACCACATTTAGCCTCTAGGAGCTAAGGTCAGTAACGCACCTAAAGCTTTGTTCAATCGTGGCTGAAACTGTAATTTCATTAACATTTATTCAAACACCGCAAGTATAATTTAGGCATAAGGTATAACTTAATCTACTCAAATATTTCCATTTTGTGTATCTTCATGCTTTTATTTTGTCACATTTACCTGACCACAATTTACTATATACTTTCCAAATAAAGATTTTACAGACTACAAAGCATGACACCAGAGTCAAGTAAGGTTATTATGGTAGCGAGGCGAAGGTCCTGAAAGATACATACTGCATACCTGTTTTCTATCGTGTTCTTTCTGTGTTCTTTTATGAAAATAACTACATACTAAAATTATAATATTAAAATTACAATAATACATTTGTATAATAAATATAATAAATATGATTTTTTTCCTTCTTTAAAGAAGAAACTGCATCTTGATACTGTTGGTGATATATTGCCATGTTTTGAAGTACAAAGCACAGACCCTTGCAGTGATCAACCCAATGCAGAGATAGACTAGATACCAAATGTGGTCATGATTGTTAAAATGTAGTTTAAGTCAAATTTATATATCTTACATACATCCATACAGTTAAATCACTGCAGACGTACCATGGTTATACTTGGGGTCATGTTAAATAGGATTTAATCAAATATTGTACTCTAGAAAAGAAAATATGACCATTAAAATATGAGGTTATAATGTCAATTGGGTCAAACTGAGTACAGAGGGGTTCATCCTCAACAAGATGTCATTGCAAGTTTTAGCTAACCTACTTAAGAACGGGAAAGATGACCATTCACATATGAAGAAATATTGAGGAGACTTTGCCTTTTAAAGACAGTAGAGTAAAATCAGTATAAATGTTATATTTATAGTTTGGGTTATTATTATTAGTAGTAGTAATAGTAGAAGTAGTAATAATAATCATATACTTTATGTTAATAACATGCACATTTCATATTTATTTCCTATTATTGTAATTCTAGTTATTATTATTTTAGTATGTAGTCATTATTATAAAGGAACACCAAAAGAACATGACAGAAAACGGGTATATGTATCTTTCAGGACCTCTCTGCTGCAATTAAAGGACTATATCAACACACTTTGTTGTGAGAACCATACAGTGATTACTTTTTGGATACATTTATTCTATATTCAGTTGGTTGTCTCTAACACTAACTCTAACAGTAGTTATTTTAGGAGATTTCTGATGCACTGGGGCCCCTCCTAAAATGTACTGATTATTTGTATGGGCATTACCTTGATATTGAACCACCACCCTTTTCATTATCACCTTTGGAAGAGACTCTCACCAAAAAGCACTCAATTTTGGTGGAACATGACTATGGCAGGATAATGTACAAAGTACAATCCACGGGTAACAGAAATATATTCAACTCACGTCCTATAGTCAGGGCCAATTCTGCCAAGATCCTTAAAGTCCAGCGCGGAGTGTGTTTGCTGTGCATACTCGTTTAGTTCACTTACGTAGTTTACAGCTTCCATCATAAATAACAAAGCTGCCGGAATTTCAGCTCAAATTACATAAAACAGTGAGCAATAAAAAAATTATTAAAAAACGCATCTCTTTCTCCTTGACTCTGCTTCTACTCTTGCATGTACCTGTGCTCTCTTTCGATTCAGCTGACTTGATACCTGTAACTTTCGATTTCCACGTATAAACGTAATTCAATGGACGTTCATGTTTACTCTGTCCGTCGGGGGCAGATTTCCTGGTATGAATCCGAGATATACTACATCTTTAAGTATCATTCTAAATGTTTTATTACATTTTAACTTCTGTAATCGATTGAAGTAAACAGTGCAGTAATTGCAGGCTCCTGGGAACAGAAAGTCTTGAGCATATCTAAGACATTTCCTGGTTTATTGACTTCAGTCACTGCAGTGCCCACATTGCCAGCACCTCCACAGAGCACACACCCAGAACACTTGATAGATAGATAGATAGATAGATAGATAGATAGATAGATAGATAGACTTTATTAATCCCCGAAGGGGAAATTGGGTCGTCATAGCAGCCA